TTTTTTTTTAAATGCTTCTGCCTTTTAAGAAAGTGGAATCTCTCTGTTACAAGGAGGCACAAAACCACCTCCCTTCTGACCACCTTCAAAACCCCTAGAGGCTGTGTGCTGGCTGTAGCTTATACAATAGTAGCTAAGCAGCACAGAGGTCTAGTCTTAATGCCAAACCATATTATTCTACATAATCATCAAACCACCTTTCCATAACTAAGTACCTTGGCTTCCTCTGCCATTTTTTTCTCTTCATCCACCTCCTCAGTCTTTGCGGAATCTTCGCTTTGGAGTTTTCTTCTCTTTTGTGTGGGAGCCATGAAACCTTGAAGAAATTTCTTTATGACACTGGCCTGAAGAGCAATCACACACTCACCAAAATCCTTCAATTTTTCTAGTGAAATCACCTACAAGAAATGATTTAAAAGCAGATTAAGAAATGGGGGAAAATAGGCTAAGCGAAAGGACACCATCCTGGACAAATGCAAATCAGCCCAGATGGGAATATCAAAAGGGCTCTTGGTATTCGGAGTACTGGTTTCCTGAGTTCACCTGGAGAGCATTCAAAGTCAGGCGGCTACTTCCAGTTCCCCTTCACTGAAGTGTCCACAATGAACCCCTGACAGGGTGAGACAAGAACAGGAGCCTAGAAGAGTCAAATGTCCTGAGTGTCCCCTAATTCTAAGGCAGGTAAAATGGTTTGCAAACTTAAACTCTCTCACATTTAAGCCTCACATCTATTTCCTGGATGAGGAATCATCAAAATCAGGCTCTGAAGCACTGCACACTACCTTGCCAGTTCCACAAACAAAAACAGAAAAATGCAAACACACTATTGGCCAAGGTCTGCACATAGTAGGCAATTGATAAGTATTTGCAAAATTAACAAAAAAGTAATTCCAAGTTGAATTTCCATGAGGAACAATTTCCAAAATGGTGTTTCCATATAGAAACAACTCTGCATTAGTGGTTACCAGGCATGGAGGCACGGGGCAGTACGGGAGGGGGAGGGGTTGACTGTCTAAATAGCAGACACTTGTCATTTTGAGAAGGTAACACTGAATGTAGTAACAGGGCACACAGTCTGACAAAGGTAAACAATGTCACTAAGAAGTATACAAGCAAACGGATCGGTTGGTAACTGCTATATTATGAAACAACAGCAAAACAACCACAAAATATATGTGTGGGCATATGCGAAGGGGCTAGAGAAAGCTCATATAAAAGTTCCAGTAAATTTTAATTCCATTTTAACAAACTTTGTGCAGCCCCTCATTTATTATGTGCGTATACACAGGTACATGCATATGTGTCACATGTGTCTATGTGACTGAACGCACATATATTAATATATAAAGAACACCGAGGACAGAGTTATCATACTCAAACACCTCCTGGGATCGGACTACTGGATTTGAAGAATTAGGATCACAGTTTGTGGGACATCTTGGTTAAACTGATTTAAGAGTTCATTGTCACCCTAATGTGAGTAGTAGCTGGGTTCTTAAAAGCTTGTGAGCAGCCACGTAAGATATGATGATAGGTCTCTGAAGAAACTAGTCTACAAAGCAAACAATCAACACCATAGGTTTCCAAACTCATTTGGCTAATTGGCCCCTTTTCAGAAAAAAATATTAGGTACCTTCCTAACAATTAAAAACTTTGGTAATATATCCCAGAATCCAGGATAAAAGTGCAGTCCCCTGGGATCATTCTGGCACACCTGCCCCAGGGGACAGTCTTGCTCACATTGGGGAAATATTTGTCAGTACAAACCTCAGCCTCATCAATCCTGGGACTAGAAGAACTAGATTGCGCCCCATGGCCACTACTGGGCCACAAGAGACGGTGAGCACAGGAGAATGGGAAAAAAATACGGAGCAGAAACTAATAAAACAAAACCAAAAAATACCCCAAACAACAACAATCACAAAAAACTAGACCTAGAGGACTGGTTGAAACTGGAGGAGCTCCCTGAGATAACCTTGAACCGAAACTAACTCTAGTTCACTTTACAGCTAGTTAACAAATGGGCGCACGCGCACACACACACACACACACACACACACACACAACACAACGACAGTATCACCTGTCAGTGCTGTGATCCTTTAATAAACCACCTGTATGAGATCAAACAGTCAACAATGACCAATTTAAAACAAAGTGGAGAATGTAAAGGGGCCAGGGAAACGGATGAACAGAAATGAGAATGTTCACACGTTGTGAAGACTCTAAACAATGTAAAGAACTGGTGGAGGAACTGCAGAATAAAAGCCGTGGCTGCTAAGTAAACCTTCACTGAAAACACACTGAATGCTCCCCAGAAAAAGCTGGCAGACACTCCAAAACCACACATCTCTGTGTTCTTACCCGAGCTTCAAATTCTGATGTCTCTTCCACATAGCCAAGACCCCCTTTTTGTAACCTTGTTGCAACCTCAATGAGATCACTTCGAAGAAAGTTTAAGAGCTCCTGGTTGCCATCACAGGATTTTAGACCCAAATTTGGCTTCCGGGCAAGATGAATAGAGTGAATAATATCCTGGTACCTGTTAAAAGTCCAGAAAATGAGGGGGATGAATTGACTTAGTGGCAATGGTTTTTATCCCCAGATCTGCCCAGTTGGGGGAGAGGACACACCAAAGACTCCCACTGTAATTTTATTTTTGTCAAGTTGGCATTACATTTCTAATCATTCTGATTTTGGCTTTATGTATTTGGCAGCAGTGTTATTTCGGACGTATTCATACATTACAACTTGTATTATTATAAAATATCCCTATCTGACTTTGGACCTTAAATTCTGCCACTGATACAGCATCAAGATGTTGCCATTTTTGCTTTCCTTCTGTGTCCAACTGGCCTAGTATCCTACTTCTGCCTGCCCACGTTATGTCTTTCATCGTTAAGTATTGTCTCGTAAATACAGAAGACAGACTCCTCTTACAGCTTACAGAAAACGTGGATGGCTCTTTAGTAAAAACCATGCTGAATAAAGAAGTTACATTCCAAAAGACAATATACTTTAATAAAGTATATAGCGAAGCAAAACAAGGATGTATTTATTGCTTTGTTTTTAATGTTCAAGAACAAAGTGAGTTTTGTTTTTAATCCTGACCATCTAAATAGAACAATTCAATCTGTTGTTATTTAATGTGTCAGACTTTATTTCTACCAAAAGTCCATTCAATCCAACTCAAAGAGAAGGCAAACTGTAGAGCTACACTCGAGCGTCCTTTGTCTGTCCTCCATTGTCCAGACACATCTTGTATTAAGACTGCAGAATACAAGCATCATCAATTTATGCTTCAACCAGTGCGCTCACAATTAGCAAGGCGCTCATGACCGAGCACAATAGCCACTCAGTGCTGCCAGGTGCGATTTTCTTTCTCTGCCACTCAAACCTTGGCTCAACCATGAAGGATGTACTCAAAAATTACAGGTGGCCACTGGCTTTAATAGAAACCCTAGTAAGCTATGAAAATGTTATATTATGCCTAATATATTAATAAAAAAGAGGAAAAGGATGCAGTGATGACAACAGAAAATAGTACTACCAAAATTTCAAACTGATATAGATTTTATGGATATATAAACTTGGAGGGGTGGGGGTATTTTACTTAAAAATGGAAAGAAAAAAAATTTTTGTTTTGTGGAACCATTACCACCTACCTTGTTTCCCCGAAAATAAGACATCCCCTGAAAATAAGACCTACTTAGTTTTGCTTCTCGCTGAAATATAAGGTAGCCCCGAAAATAAGACCTCCCCAATAATCAGGCCCCCCAAAGCTACCGTAACTCTGGACTCTGGACCATAATGGCGGACGTTGCCGCACAGCTCACTGTTGGCAGCAGCGCAGCCGGAGCAGACAGGAAGTGCGAGTAAATGTAC